CTCGGGGGGCCGGACGAGGGGGAGGAGGGGGAGGAGGAGGGGGAGGAGGAGGAGGAGGAGGAGGAGGAGGAGGAGGAGGAGGAGGAGGAGGAGTAGGAGGAGGAGGAGGAGGAGGAGGAGGAGGAGGAGGAGGAGGAGAGAGGAGGAGAGGAGGAGGAGGAGGAGGAGGAGGAGGAGGGAGGAGGAGGGGGAGGAGGAGAGAGGAGGAGGAGGAGGAGGGGGAGACTAGAGTAACAAGTTAGGAATGGAAACAAAGAGAATTGTGTGCACTGTTTTACCAGCGCGTATGCGGAATGAAAGGTATGCGGTGTGCTATGCAAGTTATGCGGGCGCTAAGCCTGGCCAGGGTCAGGGCCCAAAGGTCAGCGGGGGAGAGGCGGGTGAAAAGGCAGGGATGGCCTGACGAGGGTCCGTTCGACGTCTGGTGCTCAAACACGTCCGTTGTTCCCTCGGTAGAAGTTGTTACACTTCCACCAAGAGGCCAACCCCGCCTGCTAGCCTGCCTCGGGTCTGGCCTACAACTCCAGGAAGCCCACGTCGAAGGTCTGCGGGCCGAGGAGCTGCGCCGGGTGGAGCACCGTGCAGTCGAAGGTGCTCAACTCCCGGCGTGCCTGCCAAAAGGACCCGCCTGGAACAACACCCATGCAAGGTTGTCTCCCCTCACTGTCTGTGGAGAGCCGGCAAACGGCACGGCCCTCCTCGCTGATATGGAGGCCGAAAAGCATGTTGACTTACTCCTGGGATTGCCTGCTGGGGCTGGCTGCACGGTGTCGTAGTCGCAGTCTGCTCACCATTCAGGTTGTGCAGCTCCCTCAGTCTCTGTGCCTGCACTGGGCTTGTAGTTCAGCCTCGAGTGCTGGCTGCTCAGTACGCTATTCTTCTTTTCTCGTCGCTGAAACGCACCGCCGGATGAGTACAACTCGCACGGCCAGTCATAACTCCCAAGATGAGGTCCCGACCGATGCTCCCCTTGGTCATCGGGTCGGCCCTCATGTCTCTGGTGTCGCACCGCAGCATGTCCTCGAGCTGCTTGGTGCGAAACTGGTCGCTCAGCCCCCAGAGATGGCCAACCATCGAGTTCTCAGATGGCGGCCGGACGGGGTCGGACAGACAGCAGGGCCGTGAAGACCGACATGCCGTCTACGACCAGCTCGGCTGGGATGGCGTAGCCTCCTTCCTCCCTCAGCCGCCGGATCTCCTCCGCGGTGGCCGGGCCGCGCACCATCTCGCGCAGGGCGAGGAGGCGCCGCTGCACCCCATCAGCTGCGCCGCAGGCCGCGAGCAGCTCTGAGCCGCAGGAGGACCTGCACACGAGCTCGCGTGATCTGCTGATGGCACCCAGCAGGTGGCAGACCTCCTTGCCCGTCTTGGGGCACGTGCCCATGCGCATGTACCCGGCGCCGCGCATGCCGCACCCCGTCTCCTCTTCCCTCCTGAAGGAGCACTTCATCGCTGGGAAGAGGATGCGTGCCTTCAGTTTCTGCATGGCCAGAACGACTGAGTCGAGCTGCATCGCGTGTCTGATGAGCAGCTTGTTCTTGGCTCTCTGCAGCGCGACTACGTACACAGCCACATGGTGTTGCGCAAGTAGCGCGTAGGCCACTGCTCCCAAGAGAGATGCGAATAGGTCCGGGAGCGGACCGGTGGCCGGCTGATCCGCCTTGGCCTTGACTAGGTCGACGTGCCTGATAGGGATCAGCGCGTCGATGTACTCGTCCTGGTCCAGGGTGACCGCGCCGTCCTTGGGCTTGATGCAATGGAGGCACTCCGTCATCTCGTCGAAATCCTCGTTGCCGGGTACCTTCCGCAGTATCGCGGCGCTGCCGGGAGGTAGCGTGAAGTTGACCCCCCCAGGTGCCTCGCCCTGCTCCTGCATCTCCTCGAAAGTCATCCCTTGCTGAAAGGCCATCTCCACGTCCAAGGCGACATAGACCCAGTCTGGCCTGCAAGCCGCCTCCGAAGACAGGATGCGCTGAGACGAGCGCTTCGCTGCCCCAGCAAACGTCTCCAGCGCGCCCGCGTCCATGTCCCCGAAGCCCTGCAGTGCCATCCAGCACCTGATAATGCGGACCATCTTGCCCTCCGCATTCTTGCGGTGCTTCCACTTGAAGACGCGGCGGGGGCCCATGACGTTCCGAGCTCCTCGAGGGGGTCGTCGCTCGAAACAATTGTACTTGATCAAGAGGGTGGGCTCCTCCAAGATGGCTGCGGCAACCTCCTGGGACAGCCTAGACACCTCCTCCTTAATGAGCAAGCTGGTGTCGCGCTTGATTACCGCGGTCTTGACGGCGGCGTAGACGTTGAGCGCAACTGTCCAAGATGATGAGCCGACATGGTCGCTCATCTCGATCTGCGCGCCCAGGAATGCTTCACGCACTCCGGGGTCAAGGTACAGCCCCACGCGTGGACCTTGATCATCTTTTTCATCCAGCGTGGCATACTCGGCCTCCGAAGCCCCACGAAAGTAGTAGTGGCACCTCTCGTGGATCACCTGGCGCTGCCGCTGCGTCTCCAAGTGCGATGGCCACTCGGAGGGCCGACGGCCCATAATGGCCGCAGCGTGCTCGATAGCTGCGAATACCAGCTGCTGGTGTTCCTCGCAGCCGTCCTTCATGAGCTCACCGGTGGGGTCGTCGGCATTCTCGACCTCTTGCCACGCGGCTAGCATCACCTTCTGGATGTGGCCGGAGAAGTCGCTCTCGTCGCCCTCGGGTATGACTGAACGCGCTGAAGGTGATCCCCCTTCCGTAGTCGACGCAGCATCTTCGTGAGATCCGACAACATGGCGTCCGATCTCGCCTTCAGGCTCCAAACCGACATCTGTTGCCATAAGTGGCTCATCGCCCAAAATGAACTGCAGGATGCGGGCGTTCTCCCAGGCGTCACCTACCAAGGAGTACGAGTCGAAGTGCACGCTGTTGAGGTGCATCTGCCGCGTGTCGTAGGGGTCCTTGGGAAACCACCAAATGACCAAACTGCGGGAGCAGCCCGGCCAGGCGCCAGCCTGTTTCAGGCCTCGGATCAGACGTATGGCACGAACGTCTGACAGCTGAAAGCATCTGTGGGCCAGATGGCGCAGGGCTTGGAAGATCTCGGGCTTCTGTCGAGCCTGCTCGGTGAGGCTGACGTTGCCGCTGTCCTCCCAGTGGCCGAAAGTACTACCTCCTGATCCTGGATGTGCTCGATGTGCACGCCAGACCGGCGCGCGTCATCCCGGCGCCGAGGTTGTCGTAGACCGCGCCGATGAAATGACGGGCGCCCTGCAATCTGCAATTAATAACGAAGCGGCGGTACTTGACAGTGACCTTCCCGCGCGCCGGATCCACTGCAGTGATCGTCTCTGGGCCTGCTCAGTCTGAAACATCCTTGGTGTCGGGCGGCAGATGGATCTCCACGACGTCACCGATGTTGAACTGGCCCTCGCCGGACGGCTGGTGCGCGTCCGGAGGGCATGGCTGACGCGTGCTATCGAGGTCGCCTCGATCATGCGCTGCAGAGCGATCTCGCGAATGCGCCACTGCAGTTGGCTGGGCTGAGTCCCACCACCAGGAGAAGCAGGATTGGACTCCTCGGCATGGCCAGATTGGTCCGCACCCTCTGCGTCGGCCTCTAGCGGCGGCAGCATGCCGGGCTGCCGTCCGAAGACCACGCTGCAGGGCGCGACGCCGCCTACATGCGTGAGGCTGTTGCCGGCGAAGATGGCGTTCGCCGGCATGGAAGCGAAGTTCGCCGTAAGACTCTCTCATTCCAGTTGCTCCTCGGTGGTGCGCAGAGCATGGCGCAAGATCGCGCCGCGTCGCTCTATGAAGAGCGCGTGTTGCCCGGGCGCCCGTACGTGCAAGGAGTTACCTCGACGCTTGAGCTCCTCGTCGAAGTACTTCGAGGTCGCCATCCCGCCCTCGCCGTCCACGATGAGCTGTTCCATAGCTCCGAACAGCTGCACCCACGACTTGTCGATCGCGGCCAGCATCGTGGAGTCGTGCCTGTCGCTGGTCTCTTGGCCGTTATGCCACCTGGAGGCGCAGCAGATCAGGTGGAATATCATGCGGTCCTTGTAGAACATGATGTCACACTCGACGTGGTGGTTGAACCTGGTGGACAGGCGGAGGGTCGGCACTGTCTGGCGCGCTGGCGGCAGCCATTTGCGACGCACACGACAGTTGTTCACGAACGTCGGGATGAGGTCGAGGATATCCTGGCTCACGTTGGCGGCCCTCAAGGAGCGCAACATCCTCCTTGGTGGCGTGCCACCACCGGAGGTGCAGCTTCCGCAGCTCCCTTATCCTTGTGTCGTAAGAGTTGCTGCGAAGTGCTCGTAGCGACGTGGTCACGTCGAAGCGCGTCCAGTCTGATGGCCCTGGGTTCCCCGCTGACTCGCCGGCGGCCTTTTGGGCTAGGCGCCGAGAAATCCGCGTCGGTGAGGCCCGCAACCGAGCTCGAGGCCCAACGGCATGGCCGTCGCCTCCTTCATCTTCTGGAGCAGCGGCGGCGGGGCCGTCTGAAGACGCAGCGGCGGCGGCAGCAGGAGGCACAGCTCGTTCTGGAAGAGCCGCCTCGTCGGCAGCACCAAGGTCTGCGCCGCCCTGTAGCTGCACTTGCGCGTCGCTGAAAGGATGAGGCCTTCGAGGTACTGCTGGCGCTCGTGGATGTCGCCCCGCACGAGGGCGGGGTCGGACGAGAGGATCGGCGAAGCGGCACTGGCTGAAGATGCCGTTGTGGAGCGGATGGTCGCGCTCCTTCTCCGCCTTGCAGCCAGGGCACCCCCGATGGACAGGCACCGTATGTGGGAATCGGCAGGTGGCCGGATCCCTGGAGCGCATTGGCGAGTCAGCCCTCAAGTGCGCCTGCAGCCGCTGCACGTATATCGGGCTCGCTCGGCTGCAACTTCACGTCTGATGTCCCCTTCTGCGGCTCCCGCGGCCACGGCAGGATGCGCTGAAGCTGAGGCGACGCTGGCCTGGACATGGCCTGTACCAGCCGCGCGCCTGAGTCTGCGGCGA